ACCTACATTTGTTATTTAATCCAAGTTGCATTAAACACTCTTAAAGTTGGAATGCCGAAAATCATTCTACAAACAGTTCTTTTTGCGTTTTAATGCAAATGTGTTGTAGTTCCGGTTCAGAGCATCGAAAATTGTTAATATAATATATTAGTCATAATACAAAGCATCAACATAGACGGATTTCTAATAATCTAGCAACACCTCATATATAATGTTAGTTACACTCATTTTAAACTTGTTTGGAAATAATTCTCTTTAACCTACAAGGTCATCGACTCACCAAAACAATAAATTACAAATATTAAGCACAAACTTATAGTTGAAGCACCGTCCCATGTTTATAGGAATGCGGGCGTGGTAATTAATTAAAACTTTGCAAGGTGAGACAAAATGCACTAATTACAACATTTATTCACTGTTTGCTCATAGATATAACTATGTATAACTAAATATAAGGAAAATTATTTAAACTGGTCTCCATAAGCTGCGAAACGCTAAGCAGTAAAATATAAACTGAATTTTGTGTGGAATCAACGTCCGTTGCAAGTTCAAAGCAGCGAAAGTAAAAGACCACATAGAGTAAACTCTGTACATACGTAAACCTTTCATGCGTCTCGCTTGGAAAAACAAAACAGAAAATTCCCTCTCTTTAACATTAACTGCGTTTATGGGATACTCAACTCATGAAATCAGTTTATACACTTCTGCCAAAGCACAATCGATTCGAAAATATGCAAAGTTTTTAACACAAATAGGGAAATTCTACAACCGCCCCGTTTACTCTGCATAATTATCAATCCCGTGTGCCAAGTAAATAAGGGTGAATATTGAGTAATAAAACTAATCGTATAAACTTAGATTTAGTACACTTTTAAGCAGTGGTCAAAGAGAAAAACGAGTGGTTACATATATGTGTACAAATGTATTTATGGTTCTCTACATTCGGGGCTCTCATTTGATCTCTGCCTACATCTTCAGTCACATGGAACCTTTATTCACACAAAAGCCGACACTTGAAAAATAATTCCCTCAAAAGATCAAATCAGAAGGGTTATTGCATGACCCTTTTCCCTGGGGAAAGCCAAAGCCTAAAAGATTGCTAGGGAATAACATTTGAAATAAACTAGTTTTAAATAAACTAACTTTGAAACATTGAACTCGTGGTGAGTTTTTAGGTTCTCAAATTAATGAACGAATGCGGATAGTTTAATCGATTTGATAAAGCAATCCGATGAAATATAAAGCCTTATTTTCAAATAGTATAACTTAACTATATTTTGACCCTTTGGATGATTTTCAAATCGGGTTGTCTTTCTTTGAATACAATCTTGAGAAAAGGGAATACCGGAGTAGGCCTGTGTTTTTTAGAAAGCGCCTGCCAAACTTTGGAATTTAAGTGGATGACTCTCTAAAAGGTCAACTTTGATATGTATAGAAGCAAAAAATATAAAAGGGCTCCGTGGACACTCATGGCGGTAAGCCCCTTTGTATTCCTTGGGTACGGGGCTGGACTCGTCATAGCTCTTTGCTGGTATTGGTGGGATTGGGAGTTCAGTCAACGGGATCTTCGCATCCAGCTGAGGTTTGTGTGCCCGGTGGTCCTTGTTCTGGTGCTCCTATACTGGCGGGCCACAAGGTGGGCTATTTAGTGTATACTCTGAATCTATCAAGGTAACTAACACTGTATCAACAGATGCATCCTATTCCTGGCTATGTGTTCCTTGTGCAGTTCCCGCGGTAGGGGCTTCCTCGTCAGTGTGGCCTTCATCTTTGTATCGATCGGACCCGCGACAAACATTCTGGCCAACCTTGAGGTGCTGCTGCGGAGCCTCGCCTGCGGCCAGGAGCTGCTGCGCCTGGCCCTTGGCCAAATGCTTGACGTGATCCTGGAGCCGGTGAACGCCATTCGGCTGGCCGTGGACCTCATGCTTCAGGAAGTGAATAAAGTGCTCAATCAATCATGTCTGTACTTCTGCGTATGCAGGTGCACCTCATAGTCGTCAGTAAGTTCTAGACGAGGCCTTTTGTTTCGTCCTGCTGGCTTAATCATAAAATTTCATGTGCTGAGGTTATTTCAGTTGACACGCTCAAGAACTGCGCTGAGTGGCTAAAATCCATCTTGGATCTGTGCAATACGGAAATGGATCTCCATGGGCGCGCTGTAAGGAAACTGCGCACAAAGCTATGGTCAGATGCCAGGCAAAGATGGGCGTCTTGAAGGCGGTCTGCCATTTTACGAAGTTTTTCCTGGCCCTGTGCTACCCTGCAAAGCTCATCGATGTCTTTTGCAGCGGATATTGGGATTTCACCTGGGACCTTTTGGACAAAATATTGCTGCGTACATAATAGCCATTAATATAGCCCTTATCTTGGCCAATAATGTTTCTCCCTTAGGGTATCGGGAATTTGTGCGGCACATAGAGCAAATGTTCGACGCCAATATAACGTTCGAGCACAAGTTTTTCTTCGATACCAATGCCTCGAAAAGTCTGTCGGACGTCGGAGAGGAGATAATGAAAGATATCAACGAGCGACTATCGCCGTTTACAACGTTCAAAGCTTTACGGATGTTCTCAGCATGATAATGTTTTCTACAGTTTTCCTTAAGTACGTTATTACGTCCGCTATTAGTTCAATTCACAATATGTTTTACTTTGTTTTTATCAGAGCTATCGTCTTTTACATCCGCTACATGAACAGCCGGCACTTTCAGAACGTTTACATTACCAAAAAATTTGAACAGCTCGACCAGCGCTACGTGAGGCACGGATTCTATCCAGTACTGCCACTCGGTCGACTCGAGACACCAAAGTACATGAAGGTTGAGTATGCAAAGATAATTCTATCGAAAATTTTAAATCACATTTACCCTTGAGGACCACCATGACATTCTGTCCGCCCGAAAAATGATTAGAGATAAGTTTTAACTTTCTTTCTAAGATTAAAATATATTTTTGTACCATTGTAGAGTATTATAATTTAAGTCAGAAGTTTGCAACGCAGTGACCCTATATAATATATATATTCTTGATCAGCATCAACAGCCGAATCGATCTAGCTATGTACGTCTGTCTGCTTCTACGCAATCAAGTCTCTCAGTTTTGAGACTATCTGAACAAAACTTATCATTTAGTCTTCTTTATACTTTCACTAATATATACATAAGTCAAAACAGGTCAGTTTTTAGTTTCATTCATTCGTTTATCCTGAAACCCATTTTCGGGTATTTAAAAAGAGAGATATTTTAAATTACGCGATATGCTTGCAGATAACCGGTGGTCGCTTGACGGTGCTCGAGATCTTTTCCATAGTGGAAAACACGTTTTTTATGATGACCGCATGCCTGCAAATTTTTACTATCTGCCTCCTGGACTACGGCCTGTTTTGGCTTCTGGCGATGATGTCCTACTACGGCCACCAAGAGAAGGGCCTGGAGGTGCCCGCGTACATTGACTTGGAGATCAAGGGTGGCGGATTCGTTGCCGACGTCATGAGAGGAATAGCAGGAGCCTTCCGACCCCTGACGCAGAAAACCACGATCGACAGCAATCTCTGCCTTCCACTTCCCATTGAGCCCAACTACATACGATACGTTAAGATGTTGGTGATCCTTCTGTTAGCGTGGATCCTCGTGGTGCTTGAACCGTATATCCTGCGCACCCGCCACATCATCATGGAACATTTCTACCCAAAAAGAGCAGTTGAGAGACGCTTATTTCTGTACAGAAAGATCAGCGAGTCAAGAAGTAAGAAAAATAAGAAGAGTGCACCTAGCCTGGCTCTAATCTATTCTTTTCTATTTAGTTACTAATTTTAAGTTTGAGCGTCGCAGGGTGCGAAATGAAATAATACACCAGGGAAAGGTTTCGACCTTCCGATGGCTCACCTGGCTGAGGGTAAAATTTTCATGGTGAGATTTGATTTTCGTAGAGCCAGTCAGGCATACTGATTGTATAACCTCCACTTATGTTTTTCTAATTTGATCTTCGGCATCTCGAAGTTAGTTCTTTTTTATTGTGTCTCCTTTTAACAATCCCCTTTCATATCCGCAGCTGCTGCTGCTGCTGTCCGTTAGGAGACCACTGCATCATATGCGAAAGACTTCTGACCTCGTAAGTACATAGCTTCTATAGATCGATGGACTTTACCAGGGTATCCACCTTTCAGATCAAATTCCCATTTCTGCAACACGCCGAATTGCAAAGGGATCTATTGTGATGAGTGCTATGAAGAGTCCAAACATAAATGCTGTATATGCAAACACCCCTTGGAATATGGCGATTTCTCCGACTGCTCCGAGGTCGAGTGAGTTGATCTACATAAATACATGTTGCATAAACCAGCTCTGATTCCTTTTTTCCGTAGAGACTCTTCAGAAGTTTCAGAAGGAGAGACTTACAAAGAACAAACATTCAGAGAAATTTGCAAAGTAGAAAAACCAAGCAGCTAAAAGCAACAACCTCACTAGAACTAATTATTATTTTAATAATTATAGAGATATTTTAATTGTTGTAAAATGGCCACCAATTTAATTAAAAGATTTTTAGGTGTTTGATAAATTTTAATAAATTCCTCAATTTCTCTTTTATGTGTGTTTAACGTAAGTAAGTAAAATTGCGTAAGGCAACTACATTGGATTTGGTCAAGTATCTTTTGTATCCCGTGCACAATCATTAAATTTGTATTAATTTATTTTATTGTATTGTATTGTATTATTTTTACATAAATTAAATAAATTAACTCAAAAAAAAATTATAAAATAGTAAAATTTATTTTCTTTTTGTTTCGAAATTTGAAGAAATTAAGTCTTCAGATATCGCATTTCCTTTGCATAAACTTTTAGAGACTTTGGGTGTTCCGAACAAATTTCTGACAAAATAATGAACGCCATCGTGAATTATAAGGAAGTTTAATTTTTACTCCTTTATTTAATTAAGAGACTTCAAGTAATGCGAAGGTTTGTGGCTTCCAAATGCAAGATCAGTTTTAGCCAATTAATTCTAAAACTTTTCTCCTTGCGGCTTAATGGTTATATTATGCACCTGTGAATGTTACAAAAAATATATATTATATATATATGTATATAATATAAATAATTAAATATATAAATATATAATAGTCTGCCAATTAAAGCAACATGCTACAAAAATAATTAAGTGCATAAGTAACATTGAGTACAAAATTGTTTGTATAGAATTACAACAAGGTTTTAATACGATTTTTATGTTATATTTCTATTCGATTAGCATACTAATAAACATTTAAATTTCTGGAAAACTGTTTGGGATTATCGCTCTATTTAAATATTTTGTTTTCAAGTAAAAAGCTCAATGTGGTTTTCACTTGACAAATACCCTCTTTCACGTTTTTCTTTTTGTTTGTGAATTTTATTTGTTATGTTTATATGTTCATATAAATCTTATATATATGTATAAGATATGTATCTCACCTGAACATTGCTCGGAGTGCCGATGGTCCACAGAACTGCATCTGCCACGTCGGCACTACGTAGCATGGGCATGTGCTGCTTAACAACACCCTGGATCTCTTGGGGCAATATGTCGGTATCAACCATTCCCGGGCTAATGGTCTGCAATGACAACTTTGTTCTGATCTGTGGAGCCATGGAATAGGAATGGATAATGGACATTAAACTCACCGACACCCTCACAAGGGTCTTGTGGCGCTGGAACTCTTGACGATAGATTTCGTTCATGGCGCGAAGGGCGAACTTGCTGGCCGGGTAGATGTTAAGAGAAGGCAGCATTGGGCCCAAGTTCGGCACCTGTTGTCCTGCCACGCTATTTATGATTACCACGTGACCCTCAGTGCCGCGCTCTCTCATAGAGTTGAATGCCTCCCGAACACAGTTCACGGTACCCATGATGTTCGTCTCGACAGTGGACCGCATGGCCGCGCTGTCGTCCCGGCCACTCAGCTCACCAGGGGCTATAATTCCGGCGTTACTGACCAGTGCGTCCACACCACCCAAGTGCCGCCGGATCCACTCAAAGGTCTCCGACACCTGCTCTTCGTCCTTCACGTCGCATCTAATGGCGTGCAGACGGTTCTGTTCTTGGGCTCTTAGGCCTTCTCGAAGCTGCTCAACGCGTTCCTGTCGCCTCGCCAAGCCGATGACCACCATGCCGGCGGAGAGCAAGGCCCGAGTGCACGCCGCTCCAATACCAGCACTAGCTCCGCTGACCACAGCCACTTTGTTCTGCCAACGCTCCATTACACCTGCCGTCTGGTGACCGACTGACTAGCCACTTTGCCCGCAGATACTGACGCACCGGGAAGGGAAGCCGTACCAGTCTAATCAGTATTGATTAATTAGAAGTCGGTCACGTACAATGGCAAACTTTAATAATTGGAAGCACAACTAACTTATATATATGTATGTTGCATAAAAAACAAGAGCTTTGCTGCACGAAGGTAAACCAACCAAACTCTTAATAGAGTTAGTCGAACTTATATAACTTATTTGCTGCATATTCGAAATTATTGCATTATTTTTGATGCGGTTAAAAATGTAAGATGGAACGATACGTTTATATTATAAAGATATATTCCTGGCAGGGTTTTATAAGAGGGGTAGGTTTCCCTTAAGACTTGGACTGAAGTCTCAGTTGTATCTAATGGCCTTTTATATTCATATATTTATACTTATATACTTGTAATTTTACAAGTTTGGAAAGCAATGAAACAGTAATTTCAGACTCTGTAAAGATTAGCCCGATCAACATATAACTTGATTAACTTAATTATTTATTTTTTTTAATATTCTCTTTGAAAAATTTGCGGATCGATAGTCTTAGTAGTAGACTTAGTAGTATATTTAGTACTATTTAATAATGGCTTTCCCCTTCACATATGCAACTTTTGAACAGATTTACTCATAAGCCCAAAAGTTGGATTAGAATGTTGATCTTAAAATCTGAAACAAGTAGCGAAATAAGGAGCGGAGTAAATTTATTACTCTTTGGTCTATCTGAGTAGATACATTTTACCATTGCCGTTTTAGCCCAACGGCCAGACAGGCGGTAAGTTTGTTCTTTTCCAGTTTAGGCTTTCAGACTTTAAACAAAAGTTAGCCCCCAACCTTGTCTCCCTCATAAAGAGCGCAAGTGGCACCCACAGCCGTATTCACAGTTGGCTTAAGTAAACAATAGTGGAAATTTTAAATTGTAAATATTTGCACTCCGTTTTCGGAAGCAGGTACTAGGGGGTTGAACCAAGCAGTGATACTTGAAGTACTACAAGGTAAAAGGGAGCCTGTGAGAGGTGTACATGGCAGAGCCGGAAGCTATTCTTTTTCTATCTGTGTTCGTTTAACTAAAGTTTCGCTCGGTCGCTTGTGCAAATAGCACAGGATTTGCTTTCGTCCTTGGCCTTCTTGGTCGTGAAATTCGCCCAAAGCGAACTTCAATCATAAGCGAACATTAATTAACTTCTTGCCAGAATCATATTTACAACGTTGTTCACGAATCAATAATATTTTAGATTCTAAAATTTAGAGGTATTTCCTTGAAATATTTAAGTTTATTTAAGTTCTAACCATATATGTTATTCTTTGTCAATCTATTTAAATTTAACTTATTAATATATTAAATAATTAATACTCTATCTCGCTTGCTTTTTTCCGATACTCTGTAGTGTTCCCGCTCCAATCCAAATGAAGAAGATACATAGGTTCAGAGTTTTGTGATTTATTATTATTTATTGATTTGTTTTCGGAGCAGCCGTTGTTGCCGCTCCGAGCTCGAAGGAGGTTCTTGTTGATCCAATTTTACTTAGGAGCTAAAGAGGCCAAATAACGTAATATAATGGAGTTATTTTCTAGTACTAATTTACAAACTTTGAGAAAAAATTATATTATTTATAACAATATTATTAATTTTTGTTTTGTTATTAATTTGTTTTTCCTCTTTTTTTTCTTGTGTATTCTAATTTTAGATATGGTTATCCTATGTGCTCTTATATTATGTATGGCCATACGTGATATATTTATGAAATTGATTATGAAACAAAGAGTTTTAATCTATCTTTATGTACTATTTGCTTTTTATTTTATTATTTATTATGGTTATTTTATCTCTATCTCCTATTTGTTCTACCTTATAAGGACCTGTATATTTCATATCTAACTTATGTCCGTTTCATTTTTCAATAAAACCTGACCTCCTATTTTAAATCGTAATCTAAACTAGTTTTGTCGTAACCAATTTTCTGTTTTAGCTTATGAGATTCTAGCATTAGTCTAGCTCTCTTAAATGCCTGTTCTAATCTAAATTTGGATTCCTTAGCACAATCTTCTATATTATGAAGGGGTTTTAATTTATCTATGCTATTAAAATGTTTGGTAGATTTGAAATTTTACCGAAAACTAGCTCATATGGACAATAGTCATGTGCCATAGATGTGGTTGTATTAAAACATTATACGAAGAATCACAGCCATACATCCCAATCTGTTTTGTCAACTGAGATGTATGAACGAATGAACTTATTGAGTGTTCTGTGGCTTCGCTCCACGGTACCTACTGTCTGGTGGTGGTGTGCAGTTGAAGTTATGTTTTGAATATGTAAATATTTACATAGATCTTCAATAATTGAATTTTTATATTCTGTTGCCATGTCCGTAATGAACGTCTTCATTGGACCGTACTTTAGAATAAAATCTCCAAATATAGCTTTTGCTCCTGTATTTGCACTTTTATTTGGAACAGGTATAGCTACTAGGTATTTAGTTAAATCGTAGATGAGTGTTACTGCGTATTCGTTTCCATTATTAGATTTTGGAATTGGTCCAATAGTATCTACAATTACTATACCGAAAGCTCTTTGTGGAGTTTCGGTTATCGTTAGTAGGGTCTTAGTATGTTTAGTCGTTTTCGACTTTTGGCATTTAGGACATTTCCTTATGTACTCTTTTATATCTTTGGACATATTTTTCCAGTAATAGAATAATATACTATATAATAATGTTTCTGGACCTTGGCCAAAGTTTTTGTAATGCCTGTATGACCACCTTGTATGGGATCATCATGGAATGTAGACAATATAGCTTCTTTTTTTTTCTTTATTATTTTTTATTACGGTCACCGGGTTGAGTAGCGCTACTCTCAATGATTTCAATTTATTATTGCCAATAATTTAAAAATTATCAATTGATACATGTTCAAAAATATTTTCCCACGGTACCACTTTGAGTAGGCTGACTTTGTTAATACCGGTCTGTTTTCAAGCCTTTGAAAGAATTGACCTAAGTCAATGGTTCCATTAGTATACAAATCGCTAACATCATATCTTGCTGTAATTTTCTTTCCGTGCTTAAATTAACACATCTTATTATTTACATGCAAGGTCACTACTTTACGTACTTCATCATTATTAATGACTTCATATACGTTGGGCTTTGGAGCTTTCTCTATAGATTGTTTATGCAGTTATATTTGTTCTTTTTCTGCGCAGGATTTTTGTCTACTTTGGTTTCTGGTAGTGACTTGCTACATAGTTATCTTTACCCTTTAGATACTCTACAGTAAAATTATATTCCTCCAATTCAAGTCGCATTCTTGTTAGTTTGGAACTGGGATTTACCATTGAAAATAAGTAGGTAAGTGCTCTATGGTCTGTTTTGACAGTGAAGTGCCTACCATAAATGTATGGTCTGAAGTGTGTTATTGCCCAATGAGTAGCTGATAATTGTTCTCTGAAAAGAGTTTGGCGCTATTTTTAAACCGAATGGTAATCGCGAGAAGCGATACGAAACATTGTTTGTTGAAAAGGATGCTATATCCCGTGAACATTTTTCCAGTTCAATTTTATGAAAACCTGACATTAAGTCAAGGCATGAGAAATATTTTGCTCTACCTAGTTGATCTAAAATATCATCGATTCTAGGGAGTGGAAATTTATCAGACAAGAGTTTTTTACAAAGTAGTCAATTTTAGTCAATTACTAATCGCCATTTTTTATTTTCCGAATTTGGAAGTGTCTTTTTTAACAAAAGTGGGCTATTATAAGGTGATACAGAGGGTTCCACTATTTTATCATTGATGAGTTTTTGGACTTGTTTTTGAATTTCGTCTTGTTTATAAAATTATTGGTAGTGATCGATTCGGTTCTAGTCCGAATACATCACTATACTGGGTGCATAATGCTGTAAGCTTTTCATTGAATTGAGGCGGGAAGTTTTTGCAAGTTGGATAATACAATTTTTTGACTGGCTCCTAAGTCCGTTTTACTACTTCGTAGTTTGAAAGTGGTAAATTATGAATAATTTTGATATAAACTACTTGATCTGTGTTTGTGGTATTTAGTAATCTTATATATGCATTTTGGACTTTTGCTATTTGAATACCATGCTGAATTTTGGGACTTGGGATCTTGCTGGCAGAATTAGGGAGTTGTTGCCAGAACTGAATGCTATTGGAACATAAATCGGATATTTGAGGTTATTTTGTCTTATTAAAAGCCAGTATTCAGACGGATTGAAGTCTAATTGACAGTTGTATCTTTTGATAAAATCGATTCCTAGTATTCCATCACATGGAATAGCGAATTGCATATTTACGATATGGACATCATGGGGAATTATGTACTTAGAAGTTTGAATTTCAATAGAAGTTAAGCCTTTTGATTTGGTAAATTCCTGACTTATACCCTGTATGTTTATGATATGATTATCTTGAATGTTTGAAAATTATCGGAATTTTCCTTCATTATGGATATTTTCGCTCCTTTATTTAGTAGAAAAACTAATTCATTTCCGGTTGCTACGTTCATGAAAGTGACAAATGTATTTTGACTGAGATTTAAAATGTAAATTTTGATGTTGTTTACTGTCGTGTATTTAAAGCTGGTTGGGAGTTTCCCGAATTTGTTTGGGCTACCCTAACGTTCTTATTGTGGTTGTTGTTGTTACCACCATTACTGTTGTTGTTTTCCCTACGGTTGTTTCCACCGCGGTTGTTTCCACCACCACGGTTGTTGTTTCTGTAATAATTGTTATTTTGGTTATTGTTATTTCTGTTATAACCATTGTTTTGATTATATCCGTTATACTGATCACTTCTGGTATTGTTATAATTACCTAGATTATTACCTCTACCGCGATAATTTTTGTTGTAATTATTACCGCGATAACTATTTCCACGTTGGGTGTACAATATGGAATTGGCATTGCCTGTCATTTCAGTACTACATTGTATGTACTTGGTGACGGCTTCATTCATGGTTG